TCTGCCTGAGTGCTGGGACAAAAGGTGTGCAACACCACCACTCGGCTTTCCTTTGTTTTTTTTTGTTTGTTTGTTTGTTTGTTTGTTTTGTTTTTTGATACAGGGTTTTTAATGTGTAATAGCTCTGGCTGTCCTGGAATTCACAGAGATCCATCTACCTCTGCCTCCAAAGTGCTGAGATTAAAGGCATTCACCACCACTGCCCAGCCAATAATTTAGACTTTTAAAAAAGACTATGGGGACTTTTGAAACTGGTTTGAATACATCTTGCATTATGACATGGCTACAAATCTCTTGGGGCCAGGGAGTGGAATGTGGTGGTTTGAATGAGAATGGCTCCCACAAGCTCATACATTTGGATGCTCAGTCCCCAGTTGGTGGAATTGTTTGGTAAGGATTAGGAGGTGTGGCCTTATAGGAGGAGGTGTGTCACCAGGGTGGGTCTGAGGTTTCAAAAGCCCACACCATTGCAGTTAGTGCATGCATTCACACTCTCTGCCCCGTGGTTGTTAGCATGTAAGCTCTTAGTGACCGCTCCAGCACCATGCCTGCCTGCCACCACACTCCTCATGATGGTCATGAACTCACTCTCTGAAATTATTAGCAAGACAGTAAAATACTTTTTTATTTTTACAGGTTGCCTTGGCCATGTGTATCATTACAGCAGCAGAAAAGTAACTAAGACACATATCTACACATAACTTTAAAATAATAAAAATAGCCAGGCGGTAATGGTGCGCACCTTTAATCCCAGCACTGGGGAGGCAGGGGCAGGTGGATCTCTGTGAGTTCCAAGACAGCCAGCGCTGTTACACAGAAAAATCCTTTCTGAAAACTGCCCCCCAAAATAATAAAAATAAAATGGAGGAAAAAGTTTCTAGCCATGGTGGTTACCCACTTGTGAACCACTATGTGAAGATGTGTCACTGGAATTGGTTTAATAAAAAGCTAAACGGAAATGGCCAATAGTTAGGTAGGATTTCTACAGCAAAGAGGACAATGGGAAGAAGGTAGAGTCAACAGCCAGATGTAGATGAAGTAGGATGTGCGGGAGGAGAGGTAACAAGCTATGAGCCAAATGGCAAGACATAAATGAATAGAAGTGGGTTGATTTCAGTTATAAGAGCTAGTTAGAAACAAGTCTAAGCTATTGGCCAAGCTTTCATAATTAATAATAAATCTCTATGTGATTATTTTGCAGCTAGCAGGTGGAACAGAGAAAAAACTGACTACAACACACTTTTAATCCCTCACATTTGGGAGGTAGATGGACACAGAGCTCTGTGAGTTCCAGGCCAGCCTGATCTACACAATGAGTTCCAAGCTAGTAGGGCTATGTAGTCAAACTCTGTCTCAAAAAATTAAATAATTAATTTAAAAAATAAGCACATCCATAAAAAGAAAAGTTATTCTACTGGGGGGAGGGGCAGACTATGTTTACCACCTAGAATGCAGCTCAGAGACATCAGATTAAAAGATTAAGGAAACAGGACCAGAATACAGGGGAAGCAATAAGAATAAAAGTTCCAGAAGGGTCAGGCTTGGTCAAGGGCCTGTAATCCCAGCTGTCCTGGAGAATCACACATTCAGGGTCTGCCTGGGCTACAAAGGCAACTGAATGAGTCTTTGTCTCACACAAAAAATTAAAAAAACAAAACCTTAGGGTATAGTTTAGTGATAGAGTACTTGTTTAGTATACAACATATCAAATCTCAATACTATTAAAAAAAGAAATCATCGGGGGCTGGAGAGATGGCTCAGAGGTTAAGAACACTGGCTGCTCTTCCAGAGGTCCTGAGTTCAATTCCCAGGAACCACATGGTGGCTCACAACTATCTGTAACGATATCTGGTGCCCTCTTCTGGCCTGCAGGCAGAACACCGTATACTTAAATAATAAAATTAAAAAAAGAAAATACTATTGATAATGGGAGCCAGAGTCAGTAGAGAAGACCGTTATCAGATGCAGGCAGCACTCTAGTTACTGCACAGCTCACCGCTCCCATTTAGTGCTCAATAAACTATTCTCCCCTTTACCCTGCAAAAGCACAAATGACAGCTACCCATCCAGAGAGAATAGGGATAGAACAAGTAGCATGGTATCGCTAGGATAATGTAGGCTGTGTGCTCCCTGATCATTACAAAAATGGTAGAATTAGCTGGGCATTGGTGGCGGATCTCTGTGAGTTCGAGGCCAGCCTGGTCTACAAAGTGAGTTCCAGGACAGCCTCCAAAGCCACAGAGAAACCCTGTCTCGAAAAAACAAAAAAAAATAAAATAAAAAAATAAAATAAATAATAAAAAATGGTAGAATTAAAGGATTATTTGGAGCTGGGAGAGATGGCTCATTGGTTAAGATCTTCTAGAGGGCCGGGCGTTGGTGGCACACGCCTTTAATCCCAGCACTCGGGAGGCAGAGGCAGGTGGATCTCTGTGAGTTCGAGGCCAGCCTGGTCTACAAGAGCTAGGTCCAGGACAGGCTCCAAAACAATACAGAGAAACCTTGTCTCGAAAAACCAAAAAAAAAAAAAAAAAAAAAAAATCTTCTAGAGGACCAGCACTCACACGGTGGCATATAACCATCTGTAACTCCAGTTTCAGGGGATCCAATGCCCTTTTCTTGTCTCAGAGGGCAACAGGCACACATAAGGTTCACAGACAAACACAGGAAGCAAACATTCATATATACAAAATAAAATAAAAAAAATAAAGATTATTTGTTGGCTACTATACTACCACATGGACAAGCTCCTGGAGAAGCAGAAAAGACATTTTTGGGGGCTGAGTCTAATTCTACAGATGAACCAAGGGCTACACAGCTCTAATCCTGATAGAGTCAGTTCTGTTTGCCCAGCCCACAATCCATATCAATTAGAGAGATAAGAAAGTCTTGGTCTGCAAGAGCTCAAGGTCAGCAGAGATCTGGCAACAAGCTCTTGCATTTAACAACTGCCCTACATGGGGCCTGGAAGCCAGTTAGTGCTGCTCAGCTTACCTTGTGTTATGTCGAACAAAATCCATCTGAATTACCATGTCCCATTCAGATAATAAAGTACATCCAGGAGAACAGAAAAAAACAAACGAACAAACAAACAAAAAAACCTAAGCTATAACTTCCCTTCTACTGGCTTATTAAGACTCTCTTGCTGGCCAGGCAGTAATGGTATATACCTTTCATCCCAGCACTCAGGAGGCAGAGGCAGGTGGAGCTAGGAGTTTGAGGCCAACCCGGGTTTACAGAGTGACTTTCAGAGTAGCCAGGGCTACACAGAGAAACCCCCGTCTCGAAAAATCAAAACAAACCAACAAAAAGACTCCTTTGCTGGCAAGACCTGGCTCCTGAGCATCTATTCCAGGCTGTCAAAAAAATATGTATAGAGCTAAAAGGAAAACAAGGCCACACAGTGCTCTAGACCAGCAGCAAAGACATTAAGTCAAAGCTACAAGAACCAACAGTCCCTAACCTGAGTTTAGCAGGCAGCTGTAATTTAGTGAGATTACCAATTTTTTTTTTTTTTTGAGACAGGATCTTGAGTGGCAGCCCAGGCTGGCCATGAATGTGTCACTTCTCCTGTTATCAGCCTCCAGGATACTGGAATCACAGGCATACACCACCATGACTGGCACTTTTTTTTTTCTTGACCTTATTCAACGTTTAATTTTTCCAAATTCTAGTTCCATGGATTCCAGGTCAAGAATGTCTGGTCTGTTCTTCACTGTATACATAATAAATCTTTTAAAAATGATTTAAAAAAAAAAAACGTCTGTTCTTGGGCTGAAGGGACAGCTCAGGGAATAAAGACTTCCTGCCAATCCACCTCCACATATATGTCATGGCATGTGTGTACTCACAAATTTGAAAAGTTTGTCCTGAGCAGAGTATGTAGCTCACCGGTAGAAGGGTAGCCTAGCATGCCCAAAGCCCAGTACAAGCCGGAGGGTCAAAGAAGGGAGCAATAGGAGTAGATGGAATGGGATGTCTGTTCTGAAACAGAGGACTGAGGATGCTCTCAAATATCTGGACGGGTCAGTGGTGATTGACAGAAAACACATCATATCTCTATCATGCTCAGATTAAAGGCACAAATAGTTAATACCGACCACAACTCCATGTGGCAGTCAGGTCCTTTATCCTGTTCTGTCTTTCCTTCTTCTAATTTGTCTACACTGAAAAAGAATCACTTTAAAAGCCTTCCTGCCGGTCAGTGGTGGCGCACGCCTTTAATCCCAGCACTCGGGAGGCAGAGGCAGGCGGATCTCTGTGAGTTCGAGGCCGGGCTGGACTGACAGCCTCCAAAACAATACAGAGAAACCCTGTCTCATAAAACAAAAAACAAACAAACAAACAAAAAGCCTTCCTATCCCCTCACTTAATGTTTTTGTTTTGTTATTTAAAATTCATTCTCCTTTCAAATGTGCTTTGTAGCCAGTGATAGTAAGTCCCGTAATTCCAGTAGTCTGAGGCAGGGAGGGTCACAAGTTCAAGCCCAGCCTGGGCTACCCCATAAAACCTTGTCTCAAAAGAAAACAACAACAACAAAAAATATTTTCAAGTTTATTTTTAGTAGATTACGTTTATCCCATTATGGGGAGGGCAGCAGTCAGCAACAACAGCAAAACCCACTGAACAAGGAATCCACATCTTAAACCGTGTTTTGCTTTTTGCTTTATTCTTTTGGCACGCTTCAAGGATTCCAACCATCAATGTTGCAGCCAAACTGTCTCGCTTTATGCCGAGAAAGTACCAGTTGAGAAAAAAACAAAACAAAACAAAAACAAAACCGCGCCAGCTCGCAAAAATAAAGTTGCAGCTTGGGACCTGGCTTGAATCGCCCACTCCGCAGCAGCACAAAGTAACGTGCTTCCGGAGCGAGAGTCAGCAGACGCCGAGAGATGACAGGGTGCCTGCACTTGCCATGGGGGCGGCGCCTCCTTCCCGCTGCCTAGCGCGGTCACACGCCCGCCCGCGATCCCGCCGGTGCCCACCCGTCCCCACCCTACCTGTGCGTCCAGCCCTGCGAAGTCCGCCACCTGGGCGCCCGGTGCCAACGGTCCCCAATTTGACCAGGGCTGACTCCAGGGCGGGGTGATTGATCCCAGTCCCCGGTGGGGCTCAGTTCTGAGGGACACCCCTGGAGTGAGTTTATTCCGTGCCTTCCGCCCACTCCCACTGACGATACAGCCGGGATCCCCGACGCCGCCGACTCCGGGGCCGCGCAGCTTCACACTGAGGCGAGCCGGTTCCGAGCCGAGGGCGAGGGCTAACACACCCCCTGGCGGCCCGCCCGCAGGGCACAAAAAGGTTTAGATATGGGACGCACGGAGGGGGTGGGAGAAGTGAGGGGACCGGATGTGACGCAGGGGGAAGCTGCAGCGGACGACTCGCCGCGGAGGAAGCCGGTGCCTCGGTGATTCCGGCCCGCGAGTGAGGACGAGCCGCTAAGCAGCGCCCCCTGCAGGCACCTTCCTGGCCTTCCCACCGGCGGTCCGGCAGAGCCGGCGTCGGCCCGGCGGCACCTTCCGTACTATTCGGACGCAAACCGCGGGGCGGAGGCGCGTTGTTGTTAAACTGCAGCACCACCTTGTGGCCTCCCGTTGGCACCGAACGTTCCACAACTCCAGGCCGGTGTTGCGGAACGAATGAACAGATCTCCCCCTTTGTCAGCTTTTGGTACATCCTGGAACGTTCCACCGAGACCAAGACGGGAGGGTTCGAAGGTACCGGCCTGTCAGTCAAGTTTGGATTTTGATTTTTTTTTTTTTTTTTTTTTTTTTTTTTTGGTTTTTCGAGACAGGGTTTCTCTGTGGCTTTGGAGGCTGTCTTGGAACTCGCTTGGTAGTCCAGGCTGGTCTCAAACTCACAGAGATCCGCCTGCCTCTGCCTCCCGAGTGCTGGGATTAAAGGCGTGCGCCACCAACGCCCGGCTTGGATTTTGATATTTTAAGGAGCCTAAAATCTGACTAGGGAGCCAAAGTTAGCAAAGACAACCCCCGCACCGAACTCTCTGAGTCCTGGATTATGCCAAGTCACGAACTGTGGGGCGGGACCACTACAAGAGCGACCCCTTGGTCGAGCCCCAGAGGTTCCGTCTTCAGACTTCCTTTGGCATTTGAGGGCCCCAGATTTTTTGTTTGTTTGTTTGTTTGTTTGTTTGTTTTTCCCCGAGGCAGGGTTTCTCTGTATTGTTTTGGAGGCTGTCCTGGAACTCGCTCGGTAGACCAGGCTGGCCTTGAACTCACAGAGATCCGCCTGCCTCTGCCTCCCGAGTGCTGGGATTATAGGCTTGCGCCACCAATGCTTTGAGGGCCCCATTTGATCACTGGCTGCCCGAATCTTCCTGACTGCTAATACTGAAGGTTCTTCCTCAGCTGGAAATCTTCCCCCAAAACTGCACTTGTTATCAAACCTTCATTTGCTTTATTTTGATTGTTTGAAAGTCAGTAAGGTTTGCAGGTCTCCTTCAAATCTCATCCAGAGTACTTAAAGTAAAGCTCCTTAAACCTTTCCCACTGGAGAACCCTTTCCATATGCAAATCAAACATTTACTGATAATTAACCCTAAATTTATCTTAAAAAACAATTCTTTATTGGGAAACAGAGGCCAGACTGACCTACTTAGTGAGTTCCAGGACAACCAAAGCTATGTAGTGAGACCCTGTAGCAGCAAAAATCAGTTCTTTGGTATACGTGCAGTTTCTCCACTTAATAAAGATGAATGCATACTAAACTGGCTTATGGATGAGAAGACAGTGCCACTTCAATTTCACGGGAAGAGTGAAATCTTGGCTGAATAACTGATACTTGAGGACGCAGAGTATCTGCGGCATCTTTCAGGGGAGAACACTGCTTCATTTCAATTGTGTAGTGCAGACTGGCATAAGTAAGCCCCTAATGAAATGCTTCCTTTGATAACTCCCCTTGATCATGGCCTTTCTTCCCAGCAAGTTACTAAGACACAAAGTAACAGGTATAACCTAATCTCTACAAGAAGGCTAAGGTCATGCCGGGCGCGTTGGTGGCGCATGCCTTTAATGCCAGCACTCGGGAGGCAGAGGCAGGTGGATCTCTGTGAGTTCGAGGCCAGCCTGGTCTACAAAGTGAGTTCCAGGACAGCCTCCAAAGCCACAGAGAAACCCTGTCTCGAAAAAAAACCAATAAATAAATAAATAAAAGAAGGCTAAGGTCAGGGCATGGTGGTGTGCACCTTTAATCTGAGCATTTGTAACAGGGCCCCAGACTTTAATAGTCCTCAGACCTTAGCACAATTGACTCCATGATGGAAGTGTTGTAAGCATTGCAGCTCAGATGGAAAGGGTTCCAGGCAGTCAGGAGCCAAGGAATACTAAGTGTTACAGCTCTCATGGAAAAGTGCCCTGGCAAACCTAGAGTCTATGGATACCACAGGTCACAGTGTTGTGGGTTACTCTACTCAGACACCCCTTGGATCCTATTGGCTCAGGCTGCTGACTGCATGTCCTTTCCTCATTGGTGCCCCTGGGTCAGGTGTCTGTCCATCAGCAGGGGAAGTGCCTGCATTACACGCCCATGCGCCTGCCAGCAGGCCTGGGCACTTGGGGCAGGGTGACTGTGGCTTGCGTAGGCTGGCCACAGTTTCTTCTACAGTCACAATAAAAGTAGCAATTTACAGCCCCGCTCCTGGGAAGGGTTTCCCCAATGTAAAAGCTCTGCTCTGGCATGAAGGGCTTTCCCAGCCAAGTTGCTAGTTTGGAGGGGAAGGTTTCACCAGCAAATTCTACTCGCCCAAACCTTATCCAAGAGACTTATTGGGAGAGAAGAATCCAGGAGAGTGGCTACCTCTGCCAGGTTAAAAGAAGCAGCAAGCTGAACAGGCATAGCATATATATAGGGCTTCTTAGGGGTAGAGATTTTCCAGGGAGAAGATTTTCATGTGGAGATTTGTGGTGCCCGCGTCATGAGTGGTCATGAGTGAGTCTAATATATCGTGTGAAAGCCTGGAGATTGAACTGAAAGACAAGAAGCCAGGTCGTTTGTGCTAAGAGGTCTCTTCTTTATTGTAGAGAGGGAGCAGTCTTATATACAGGCTTACAGCACAGTGGAAAAACCCCAGGTGGAAGAGATCATGTTTTTCTCCTGCTAGATGTTGATGTCAATGGGGCAAGGCTGGAGCAGTAAGCCAAGACTAGAAAACAGGATGGACTTATTGGTTGACCAGCGACTCACAGAGATTGGTCAGATTTCAGTCCCTTGAGCTCAGATTGGCTAGATGTATCCCACATGTATGTACACATAGTCAGAAATATTAAAATTATATCTTGTGCTCAGGGACTGGTTGGTTTTCTGCACAGGGATTGGTTTGCTTTTCCCTGCCCAGTGACTGGTTGGTTTTCTGCTTAGTTGGCCGGGCAAATTTGGATCTGGTTTCAGGGCCCTTTTTAGCCTTTTGACTCTAATTTCAGGGCCAGCGCATATTTCTTTCACTGACTCTGATTATAGGGCCAAAGTGTGTTTCTTTTATCCTACTCTGGGTATGTTTCTTTGGCTGGCCTTTTTTCCCTACAGAAGTACCATTCAGTATATAAATCTCAGCACATGGACACCACCACCTGCCAAAACAAAAACAAAGACCTAATCCATCACATTCCATAGTAATGAGAAAGCCTCTAAATGTACTAACTTTGCTTTTGGGCTTCTGTAGTTCCATTTCTGGCTGACTGTTCTTGTTAACCGAAGTATGTCAACCCAGAATATGTTTTTTGTGCTTAAATTTTCACCCCGAGAAAGGGTTGATGCTACACTGTGATCCAGAACACCTCACTAGGTCGAAGACTGGCTAGTAAAGACTTTCTATGGGCTAGTAAACCCATATCCAAGTAGTCTTCTCTGGTGGTTACCTACCATACAGTGGAGGCAGAGGTAGGTGGATCTCTGTGAGTCTGAGTAGAGACTAACCTACAGGGTAAGTTCCAGGGCATCCCAGGATATATATAGAGATCCTGTCTTAAAGAAAAAGTCCAAGATGTATAGTGGCTGAGGTGACACACACTTGTTTTTTCGAGACAGGGTTTCTCTATTGTTTGGAGGCTGTCCTGGAACTCGCTCTGTAGACCAGGCTGGCCTGGAACTCACAGAGATCCGCCTGCCTCTGCCTCCCGAGTGCTGGGATTAAAGGCGTGCGCCACCACCGCCCGGCCAATCTGGGAAACTTAGTGACAGCTTGTTTCAAAATAAAAAGTAAAAACAAGGCTGGGAATATAGTTCAGGATAGAATGGTTATCTATATGTATACTTGTTTTAAGACCGGGTGGGGTCTCATGTAGCACAGGCTAGCTAGCCTCAATCATCATCATCATATTCCTTTTCTTCCTCCTTCTTTTTTTTCAAGACAGGGTTTCTCTGTGTAACAGTACTGGCTGTCCTGGAACTCATTTTTGTAGACCAGGCTGGCCTGGAACTCGCTGAGATCCACTTACCCCTGTCTCTCAGGACACTGAGGTTAAAGGCATGCACCACCATTGCCAGACTATCCTCAGTTTTCTTTAAAAAAAAAAAAAAGATTTTATTTTATTATGTATACTGCATTTTGTCTGCATGTCTGCCTGCAAGCCAGAAGAGGGCGCCAGATCTCATTTCAGATGGTTGTGAGCCACCATGTGGTTACTGAGAATTGAACTCAGGACCTCTGGAAGAGCAGCCAGTGCTCTTAACCTGCTGAGCCATCTCTTCAGCCCTATCCTCAGTTTTCTTATGTAGCTAAGGGTGACCTTCAATTACTGTTTTTCCTACCCAATCCTCTTAAGTGCTAGGATAACAGGTTTGGGGCACCATTCCTGGTTTACACAGTTCTGGGGCTGCAATCCAGGGTTTCTTGCATGTTAGGTAAGTACTCTTCTCCCAGCGTGCTCAAGTATTGACTTACTTGGTTTTCTCCCAGTCATTTTCGGTTGTCTCTGGTATCTTGCGGCCTTCCCTCTACCCTGGTGACAGGATTGTTCTTGGAGTAAGACACCAGGGAAGGAATGAGGCTGTGCCTCAGGTCATGTTCTAGGAGGCCAGGCTGTTGACCTCAAAGCATCAGGAAGCAGGCAGTTCCCCAGAGGTAAGACTTCTGACCTAAACATGAAGCAGCCCTCAAAGAGGGTGTGTGATGGGACTGACTTGGGTCTGTTCTCATTTGGTCTCATTACTGAGCACAGCCTAACTCTCCAGTGCCCCTCACTGCCCTGCCATTGTGGCCAAACTATGTCAGGAAACTAGACAGACGTATTTGTGTCTTTCTACAGTGTCAGAATTTGAGAAGCAGTAAATCCAAAACATGTGTCAGTTTCATTGGCTTTAATCTTCCTGCTAATACTGATTTCATCTGGTAGGTGTCTCTGATCGACAG